CCCTCAACTTCCACAAAAAAAAAAAAACAGCAAACAGAGACCAACAGAAACCAGAAAACGCCTTTTTCAGCAGGGATTACGAAACAAAACAAGCTAAATGATGAATATCCTTAACCACCTAAAAATCTGGGTAAAATTGTTATAATATCCAGAAGAAAACATCTTATGTTATTCTAAACCGACAAATCTCATCAAATAAACAATAGGGTTGTCCTACAAACTTCTTAGGATCAAATTGGAATGCTTACCTAGTTTTGTAAGGAAACTTCTGCTGATTCTTGCCTCTTCTAACTTAAGCCAGTACAATGCCTTTAAAAATGCCTCTTCTGCGAATTCCAATCTTCCCAAGTTGCTTTTTTTCCCATCAAAGCACTGGGCGTGTACCCAGAACTTTATGGGTGGGGAAAACAGGATATATTACTCAAGAGAGGTGTTGTGAGGACATAACTCCCCTGAAACCGTACTGTCATAACCACACTGGAAAATGAGGTGAGAGGTGAGAAGAGGTTTAGGAAGTGAATAACACCACTTCAGCCAGTTTTCTTCTAAACATCTACGGCCATTTTCTGCTTTCTGATTTATTGCAGTGAGTTCTGTGCCAACTGCAAGGCCCATGTTTGAATGACCTGTGAGAGTGTGTGCCTGTCACAAGTAGGAGCATGCATTTGATCGTTGCACAAAGGCTTAGTGAGACTAGCATAGTGAGATCATCATCCAGCCACACCTTGAGAGCTTAGTCAGATAGGCCTGCTTTTTTCCGAGTTTCTAGCCAACATGCTTTGCCACATTGATCAAAATATAAGTTTTAAAAGTTTTCTTTTCTGTATAACTTTCTTTCTGCAGCATGAAGCTATGTTTGTGCATATGTGAGGGCGGGAGAGAGAAAGAATGCAGCTATGTGAGAGAGAAAGCTGTCTGCTGTGGGGCGCACAGCATACCAGAACACAATTATCAGGAACGTGCTTTCCAATTACCAAGACAAAACCCTCACAGTCCAGTGATTCTCCTCCACCCTGTTCACTAAGCCCACAGTCTCTGTGTTTGGTTGGTACTATGCAACATTAATGTAGGTTTTGTTTGCCTTTGAGTAGCATTTTGAGTAGCATAATTATTGCCAGACAATACAACAGAATTTCTGGCTGTAAGTGCCATTAAAACTTTAATCACAAAGTAAAAGTTCAACGGTTTATAAAGTCAAAACTAGAAACATTAAATAGGTCAAATAAAATATATGTTTTCTTTTACATGTTAATGTAAATATTCTGTTTAGGCCCTCTACTGGCTGAATCTATCTGACCTGCCCAGGCTCCCCCCCCCTCCCTTTTCTTTCTTTCCTTGTTTTATTTTATGTTATTTTTTTTTTTTAATTGATTTGTTTGTTTTGTTTAGAATATGAGGTCATTCATATAACTTGGATAGCACATCTAACCAGTCAGAAAACACATATTAGGATGTACGGCTAACTACCGTCTTAGTAAACAATTTAAAAACATGGGTAGCCACCATGGGTAGTATTTTGGGACCAAGATAAGTCTTGACAGGAACAGAATATTGTTCTGGATGTAAAATCTAGCACAATTGTATCAAGCAAACACTGTTAAAACCATGATTAGCACACGTTGTGAAACAGGACACACCTACAATCCGAGCCTAAATCCTAATACCTCTAGTTCCTGCATCACATAATTGTAAAAAAAAAAGTAATAGTAGTGATAATAATTATACAACATAACCTGTAAATATATTTTAATGACAAACTTTTATATAATCTAATATTTATCTTTTTTTAGGCAATTGTTTACTTTCTCCCAGAAAGTTCCCAAATAAAATCCCTCTTAATATTTTCTCCCAGTTTTCAAAGTTGTAAAGAACGTTGCTCAACTTCATAAGTGTAACTTCTGACGTTTCCATGCCAGAAAATGAATTGTGCAAGCGCAGATGTGAGAAGCTCTTCTTGAAAGATTTATGGTTTTAGAACTGTATTGCAAATCATCTTTATACAGTGGTGTGAAAAAGTGTTGGCCCCCTTCCTGATTTCTTACATCATGACAGGGATTAATTGATTGGCTGACAAAACAAAACAAAACTACTACCCTGCTGGTATTATGTTGGCAATTTTTTATTATAATATATTTTTAAACAAATTCATTGATTTATAGTAGTTTTGCCAATGCACATTTTTGGAGGGCTCTAAACAACTTGGAATAATCTTGTTTGTGTTATGAGCTGCAAAGAGTGATCAGTCAAATGGCATTTATGACAAAGCGCAACTTAAACAAAGACAGCTGTTGATGTTTGAATCATGGTTTTGTGAATTTCATCAAAAATATCACTGAAGTAAAGACTTAAAGTATAAACTGCCCTGTGTAAACATGCCGGTTCATAGTGCTTAATCAGGTTATAGTTTATTTAACCATGAATGAGAGAGAGAGAGTAACAGCGCCCTCTATAGTACTTGAATTAAGGTATTGCCAGATTTACATCCAAAACCCAAATTCTTGCAAGCTATCAATACAGTAGCTTGTACAAACACCAGCATGGTATTAATAACTTATACATTATTATTATTATTATTATTATTATGTTCTTGCTAAGATATTACAGTAAAACAGAGCACATCAACAGAAGATAACAGGAGGAGGAATTTTAAGTTTGTAAAGAAATTCATACATACGTACAACTTCTGTTTGTCTACAAAACTATTTTTAAGAATTTAAGCATTTTAGCGGTAGAGTAGAAATTAAAATATAAATGAACATTCATAATGGGAACTGAAAATATTTCTATGCACCAATGGTGGGCTGTTTGCTTTTACGCTTGAGTGTTTATGAACTCAAATAAGTTTAACATGCAGTCTGTGTAGCACAATGTAAATTTATGTTCAGACATTGGTAAAAAAAAATGTGATGAGTACAATTTATTCATTTTATGAATTTAATCAGTTTAATAATTGGGATTAAATGTCATACAGAGACAAATTTTAAAAAGCATGAACATATGGAATCAACTAGTTACTCCATTCTCATGAATTAACACTGATAAGCATCACATTTCTAAGTGTAACAAGTATTTTTGTTTCAAATAATAAGGTAATAAGATTTGTTTCATTGCTCTTTGACAGCTGTCCTTGTGTTCAAGCAGGACCGCACCAGGTGTAGTTTCAAGAAGCTTCCTGTAAAACAATTCAGATATTATTTCAAATTTAACACCTGTAACAGGATTCTTTCTTGAAGCATCAGTTTAGATGTTTGAGCTATTGAAGTAATATTGTATCTTTCCAACCTCAGTGTCATTCAGACTTCTGCCAGTTATCTGCTGCTTCTTTGTACTTACCGACACCGTGTCTTCCTCTGCAACGTTCCTCCTTAGACGATCCCAGAAATGCACTCTGTCACCTTCATCCTCGGGCCAGTCCAGATATGTATGTGATCTCACCAGTTTGGCCAAACTATGGAAAAGAATGATAAAAGTATTTACACTGTTTATAAAATGAGAAAATGAATACAATATTTGATTTAGTAAATGAATAGTGTAACTTTTAAATGATTAAAAATTATATCAAGTTTACACTAATAATACAATATTGTTTAAAAGCTTGAAGTTGGCAAGATTTTTAAATGTTTTTGAAAGAAGTCTGGTATGCTCACCGAAGCTGCATTTACTTGATCAAAAATACAGTAAAAAGTAACAGTATTATTTCAATTAAAATAACTTTTTAAATGTTAATATACTTTAAAAAGTAATGTATTCCTATGATGGCAAAGCTGAATTTTCAGCAACCATTACTCCAGTTATTAGTGTCACATGATCCTTCAGAAATCATTCCAGAAAAATCTTAGGAACCTCAAACTTTTGAAAAGTAGTGTATATTGATTGATCTATTGTCATCCTGTACTTCCTAAACTCATCTCTGAATATGTTTCAGTTTCACAGTAAATGCACATTGTTCTTAAGTGGGGCATCTTCCCCCATCTTGCCCTAATTACCGATGAAAAGCAGAAAGCTCAAAAGGAGAGATGTGTTCGAGGAAGATGAGGATGAGACGGTGTTTCTGTTCTTCCAGCTGCCGGTGTGTGGCCACTCGCATCTCCAGACTGCACCAGTTACTGCGCAGATACCGCCGGCTGATCAAACAAACAGTGCACTGACTGCTGTAGATACTCTCAGTGATGTTGTCCATGATGTCTTTACCCACCTAAAAGATGTTTCACAAGAATCTTTTTTTTTTTTTACTACATCTTGATGGATAACACAACTGATAACGCTTATGAAAACAACAACTCAACCTCAAAAGATGTTTTTTTTGTGATCAAAACATAACAATAGTGTTTGTCTTGCGATCTAAACATAAAATGTGTTTTCTTATGATCTAAACCTAAGTTGTTTTTTGCAATCTAGACATAACAAAAGATTTTTTTTTTTGGTGATCAAAACATAGCAGTGTTTTTCTTGGGTTCTAAACCTAACATTTTTTTTGTCATGGTCTAAACATAACATAAGCTCAACTACTTCAACTAATTTATATTCAGAAGATCAAATATAACTTCATTTCAACCTCACCTCAAAGTCTCTGTGGTGCAAACACAGCCTCAATCTCGGGTTCCCTTGTTCCTCCAGCCGAGGAGCCATCTCCCCCAGGACCCAGGCCTCATCACAGCTACAGAAAGACACAAAGGCATCATACCGCATCTCCTCTATCTCCCCATCAGCCCCTTCGACTCGTCTCCTCCTCCTGTGCCACTGCCTACCAAACCTCCTCTCCACCCATCCTCTCAGGCGGAAGAAGAGGACTACAGAGGCCAGCGAGCAAAGCGATATCCAACGGCTGCCGACAGCAGAAGACAAACACTTCCAGCTGTGGCTACATAGAAAATGTACTGCGCGTCAGTCTGACACAGCTTCTCCATGGTCGCCAAGAAGTTGAGTTTCTGACAGCGCCAGATACACTTCTGCATCTGCAAGTAGATCACCTGCACTTTTTCCGTGCTCTCCGCCCAATCCGGAATCCAGCCATTTTCACAACTGCACTGGAAATCCACTTTATCAAGAACAAACGCTGTTAGTGCTGGAAGAACTTCGAACATGCCATCAATCAAGACCAGAGGACTGTCGCTGTAGAGACGCAGCAGCTGCAGAGACGTCAGGTCTTTAAACATACTCGCGGTCAGGAAGTTCAGATGGCAGTTTACCAGCACTAGAATCTGCAGTCTTGTTAGGCTCCAGAAGACGCTTCCAGCATCTGTATAGTTAGAAAAGCTCAGGTTGATGAGCTTGAGACGGTGCAGAGTACTGATTTTAGTGTTAATGAGAGGCGCTCGTTCGGCTCCCCCTGAGATCTCAAAAGACTCCAGGTTTGGGAAATAAGGTGCCATGAAGTCATTCTTGCATATGAAATGGGTGCAAATCACGTTCAGCTCTCGAACTGCTGTAAAAACAGTAGTATTACAGTCCGCAAAATCCAGTCTGTCTCCATTAAGCTCCAAAACAAATGTTCCCTCAGGCTGTGATGTAAGTCCCAGGTAAAAAGTAGTGCCATAATGTGCATCAATACTTAGTCGCTGTATTTTCGGTGGAAATCCGTAAAAAATCCTATTTAGATGCAACTCATAAATATACTCCAGTCTACCCAGTGTCAGCTCACGAAGCTCCTGCTGATCCTGAAATGTTCCGACCTCAATAGTCTCAATGATGTTATTGTTGATATGCAGGACCTCCAAAGCCTTAAGGGATCTGAAATCCTTCGCAGTAAGCTGGGAGATCTTATTCGAGTCAATTTTGAGAATTTTGAGGCGATGGAAACCACGAAATGCATGCAGCTGTAGGGTTTTTATGGTATTATAGCTGAGAAAGAGCTGCTCGAGAAGAGGCATACAAGCAAACTGGTCTCTGCCAACTTCTGAAATTGAGTTTCCGGTGAGGTCCAGCAAGGTTAAGGACCAGACAGTCCCATTCACGGCAACACAGAATGGAACATCTGTCAACTTCATATAGGACATTTGCAGTGCTTGAAAACCTATGTTACCTGTCCAGAAACTAAAGTCCAGGTGGCCTACTTCTGATATGCTGATGAATAACTTTGTCAAAGTTGTCCCACACTCCTTTAAGTCCTCTGCAGCCAATCTGTCTGTTGATGTAAAAATGAGGCTGAGGGATTGAAGATGAAGGTTGGTGACCAGATGACACAAATCTTTGAAGTTTGTGGAATATTTTTTTATTACAGTTCCTGCCAAACTCAACTCATTGACTTTTCCAATCCCAGACTCCCAAATACTATCCAGCGACTTGCCTTTGAACTCCAAAAAAAGGCTGGAGAGGTTCTGAAACACAACTAGAGAGTTAGCTTGAATGATTTTGATACTGTTCCCTGTTAGATAAAGGTTTTGAATCCCAGAGAGGACAGTCACAGGCCATGTCTTTGATCCCCCTGGACATCCTTTGGTCTCAATTGTTGAAATCCCACTGTCTATCACACTCAGGTTCTTCAGATGGGACATTCCATCCGGAAGATAACAGAAAATATCACTAAGGTCCTGTGCACAAGTTCTGCTAATCTCTAGTCTGGTTACGCTAACCAACGGATCAAATATACTGCTGGATACATTGATCAACTTAAGACCTCTCAGTGTCAACTCCTCCAAATTAGACAAACCAGCGAATGCGAGCGGTTCCATGGTGACAGACCTACAAATTGCATCACTGAAAAGCAACAACAAATGCTTCAGATTGGGGAGTCCTGAAAAGGCACCAGATTGAACCCTCTCCAGTCTTGTCCCATCTATTTGAAGGACCTCCAAAGAAGGTAAGTGTGAAAAGGCATCAGCAGGAATGCTTGAAATATCACCGACAATACAAAGGGATCTAACGTCAAGGCCTACCTCTGACAGATCAGTGCGCAGGTCTATAATATTGCAGTCTGCGTATAGACCCCTTCCTGGATAATGGTAGCAGTTTGGAGTCTTGGGCATTTCTCTGAGGAGATGTTCCTCGATGGTTAAGCAGCGTTTATGTATAATAGTAAAAACGATATTGCAGATACTTAAAACCAGTGTAAATCTCCACCAGAAGCACAAGGAATTGGAGTCATGCACACCCATTGTAGAGGTACTCTAGACGAATCTACTCCTCTGCCTTCACTCTGCAGATTATATTTATTTGCATTTAATCTCACACTGCACTTGTTCAGACTGTGTGAACTGCTATTTTCCTCACTTCCTCTTTCACTATGAAAAAGCACAGGTTTTCTTTTTTAGAAATCTTAGGTCCTGCCTCTGCTGTATAATTGTTATCTCACTGAAGCACCAGTTTGTCTTAATATTTCTGAAATGCGACATTTTTTAACATCAATCTAACTGAAGGAAAGATAAAATACAGATGATCTCACTCCATATATTCAATGAGGAAATGCAGGATATATGATTTTCTTCAGAATTACTATGAATAAAGTATGTATATTAACGTTTTTTTTGAGTATGGTATTTATGATTAGCTTTATTCCATTAAATGACTTGTACAGTTTAATCCTGTTTAATAAAGTTGTAAATTGCTGCATGTGCACAAAACAAGCAACAAGAACAAACACTATACAGTTCATTTGAGGCATTCATGCAGACATGCGGGCCAAATAAGTTCAAATACAGTGCAGCACAAGAGGAACCGAAAAAACTTTTTTCTATTTTACCGTTTCTATTCAGGAACTACAAGCGATGTTGTGATGAAGAGATAAGGTATCGCAGCCACCGATGCAGGCCTCTTTTAGAAGTTTTCCGAAAAATGCACACATCTTACTGCAAATAAATAAAGCAACACATCATGCATAACCGTATGCGTTTATTCTGTGAAGTTTCACAGCAAAAATATTTCCCACTACCATAACCACAACCATCTGAACTTCAGCGATTAACAATTAAAAAACAAAACAAAAAACAAATGACACTTATCATTGTTGCAATTTTTGTTACAATTTAGCGGTCTGTGAAAAACGTATACATGCTGCGTTTAAGTAGTTAAGTATATAAGTGTACAATACTTAAGTTTTTGAATTTGACTGTTTAACCCAGCATAGGTTCTGTGAAAGCCAGACTGTAAAGGTGCAAGCAGCTTTGCCTGACAGCGTATAATTTGAGAAAAGTGCTAAAAACAGGATTCAGAGCAAAGAAACACAAATTACACCTTAAAATTACAAACCTTACTGAATCACCTTACTGCACTACATACAACTAGGATGGCCTGCACTTTTCTTTAATGATTTGCTTATATTTTTTTAATGTTTACAAAGTTCCAGACAATACAAGCATGTTACTTACTAACGATATCCTCCATAAAATGTTATAAATACTAGTGAAACTGTCAAACAAACCAAAAAAACATTGGGTCAGGAGACCCTAAAGACAAACAAAATAATTTAAAGAACTAAAAAAAGCAGAGCTAAAATTATAAACATTAATAAAACTCCAACAATCTATTTAATATCTGTACACAGTGTATAAACTAAATATAATCCTAAAATGAACATAGATCGTTACGGGACTACTGTAAAAGATTACAAATGTACTAGTCTGTAACTCTCACATTCAACACTTAACTACATTCTTCTGAGGATTATTCGCACACAAATATTATATTTGTGTGAGATGTGCCAGGTCGTAAACATAAACCTGATGTGCAGTAACAGTAGATCAGTTCCGAGAAAACTCCTACAGTTCTTGACACTGTTGCCTTCTTTTTTGGAGCTAGATTCATGAATATCTTCTTAACAAAAAAAATTAAGAATGCTCTAAAGATAAATGAGAAGTCTAAGTGAAATTATAAAAAGATATCTCAAATATTGTCTTAAGAACACGTTTATTTTCTTTTTAGGATTTTTTTTTTTAAAGAATAAAATAATGATAAAATGATTTGACTTGCTGATTGTATACTAACCTACTGAGGTTAAATTTGTCTTTATATTGCAACAATTTACTTAATACTTGGTAAATCTTAACAGTAAATGTATTCATCTATAAACTTTTTTTGTCTAATAGCAACTTGTCAAATAACCCACGGTATTTCTAATCTTGAACATACATCCGACAAACCTACAAGTATGCTACATTATACACTGCATGCATAATTATTATAATTTTTTCCAAGCACATTTTACCAATTCCAAACCACATTAATCTTATTAATCTGTCAGGTTCTCAGAGACTTTGCTCGGGTAAAAAAATTCTAAAAATGACCCTCACTTAATAAGAATAATTTTTAGGATTTTTTACCCAAGCAAAGTCTCTGAGAACCTGACACCTTGTAATTCTGGAGACTCCAGGAAAGTTGCAGTTCTGGAAAATAGTGGCGCTGGAGACTAAATGTTTCCTGATGGTTTTACACCTAATTCTTAAATCTTTTGCAGTTAACGTGTCTTTTCTTCTGCTGACCCAGTAAGGATTTTGCTGTCCAATGGTCATGCCTTAACTCTGCAATTTTTGACTTTTCAGTCTGAGTTAAACCTCAATTTTGGCTCATTTTATCTGTAAAAGAAAACATGCCTAATAATTCTGCACACCTGAATATGAGTTTTTCACGTCCAGCCTTCATGGACAATTATATATCACTTATAAATGATTAAAAACAAAATCAATAATAGTTATTAAGATTGATGTGGTTTGGAATTGGTAAAATGTGCTTGGAAAACAAAGATAATCAGAATATCAATGTGCCTAATAATTATGCATGCGGTGTATTAAATAAAATGCAGTAGTAATATGCATTATATATAGCTAGTATTATAATGTTGTAATGCTTATATTTTAATATCATAACTGTCCAATTAATTTATTAATCATCTGTGTAGTCTAAGATATAATTTAGAATTATTTTGAACATATTTAAAAAAAAAAAAAGTTAATTCTCTTACAGCTTTTTTAAGAACAATCTTAAGACAAAAAAACCTCTTAAGAATTCTTCACAAAGAAACACTATTCTATACATTTCTTAAAATAAAAAATAAGAAAATAAAATAATTTTATTCTTAACCACATTTCATGAATCCAGCCCCAGATCTTTAAATGACTGAACAGGGGACTCTCACGGAGTCTTTATTTGACGTTATATAACATTTTCAATAAAAGTAATGAAAAATGAGCAAAAACAGCTATTATAAGAAGGAAACCATCACTGAGGTTTTACAGTAATGCTTTATCCATGACAAGAAAAAGCAAAGCCAAACTGATCAAAATGAATAAGCTCTTTAAAAATGACACCACATTAGTAAGCAGAAAATCAGGCTCGACTGTTTCGGGATGTACCTTTTCTGAAACCTCTAAATCACAATGAGGAACCTTCAACCTTTCACTCTTCTGCTCTCTTTCTTCTGCTCTCCCTTCCTCACTTCCTCTGGAAGTGCAAATTTCTCCATTGCCTCCCTTTCAAATTCTTCCATCTCATCGTCGTCGTCGTCTTCCTCGCTCTCCTCTCCCTCGCTGTCGCTCTCTTCTCCTTCGGCCATGTCCTCCAAAATGTCCCCCACGTCTTCCACGAACTCCCTGAACGGCATCTGATCATGAGCGAACACTCCATCCGTGAAGAACTCCTTCACCAGCTTACTGAGCTCCCCTTTCCTGGAGGTCTGGTCCTGATCCTGGAGCTTCTTCAGGTAGGACTGGAGAAGGGTCTCGAAGTCCCGCAGGCTGACGGGAGAGAGTCCCTCGACTCGAGCGCAGTCTGCCACACCGCTGCACGTCTCCCGCTGCCCGTCATAGTGCTGGATGCGCGCTCTCTGTCTGGTCCAGTAGTTCTCATGGTCGTAATGGTGATGGGAGAAGGTCTCGTCTGGTGCTCCATGCCCATGTTTCTCCTTTTCATTGGGACTATTTTTCCCTTCATTTTTGTGGTAGTACGTCTTCTTTTTTTTCTCCTCCTTTACTCCCTCTCTTGGCCATTCTCTATCTTGTGACTCTCTTTGTTTCCCTCTCCACTGCTTCTCCTCTATTTCTTTTTCATCATACTCTTTTGGAAATTCTTTGTCTCCTTTCCATTTCTTCTCTGTTTTATCACTGTGTTTTCCCTCACTCTTTTCCTTTCTCCATTCTTTTTCACCTTTCCATTCTCTATGGTCATTCCCACCACTCCGTTTATCGCTTTTCCAGTCTTTGTCCTCTTTCCGCTCCCCTCTCTGTTTACATTCGTTTTCCTCTTTCACTTTCGTGTTCCCAGTATCCTTCCAGTCCTTCTTGTCTCCCGTCCTCTCATCCTGTCCTACATGTTTGTCTTTCTTCCACTTTTTATCTTCCTTCCATTCTTTTTTCTCCTCCCACTCCTTAAAATCTTTCTTGTCTTCACTTTCTTTGCCCATTTGATCATAATCTTGTTTTTTGTCCTTTTTCCACTCTTTTCTCTCTTCTTTTCGCTTCCCTGTTTTTCCTGCCTCTTGGTGGCTTTTATCTTTTTTCCAGTCCTTCTGTTCCTTAGTATGTTTTCCCTCAGTCACTCTCTCCCTCCTTTCCTTGTCATCTTCCTTTTTTCCACTTTTCTTCTTTTTCCATTCTTTGTCTCCCTTGCTTTGTTCCTTCTCCTCACTCTTTTTGTCCCAAGTCTTTCTGGGCTTCATGTCTTGTCTTTCCATCGGTGGTACATCACTTTTGACTCCAGCAGAGGGCATCCGAGAAGCTGCAATGGGTGGAACAGATTCTGCTCTTCCTGGAAGAGAGTTAGGATGAAGTTTTATTTTTTTTACCCACAGAAAACAATACAAAAACCAAAAAATAAAAAATCATTGCCCCCAACATAAATAAATAAATTCTTATATAACATATATATAACATGAACCAAGAATTTAATATATGATTTATAATGTACTTTTTCATGTGCTTTGCATTTTAAAACAAGTTTAGGAGATGCATGTTACTGAATTTGAATCAGTTTTTTTTTATAGAAAAAAAATAGAGAGAATACATGTGTTTCACTGATGTATGACTGCTGTCAGTGTGTGTGTGCATGTGTTTACTGCACCTGTGCTCTGTGTCAGCTGTGAAACTTTAGCTCTCAGATGCTCCAGTTCTCTCTGTAGTGATGGCAGGGCCTCCAGCTCTTTCTTTGCTCTCGCACTTTCTTCTTTCATTCTCTCGTTCTCTTGCTCCAGCTCCTTCTGAAGAGCAGGTACTCTATCTAGTTCTCCTTTTAGCCTCTCATACTCCTTCTCCAGCTCTTCTCTCCTCACACGCTCTTTCTCTCCCTCCTCTGCCCGAAGTTGCGCTGCTTTCAGTTCACCTTGATGTTGCTGAGTTTACAAACAGGGCAAAAATTAACACTGAACAACAGAAACCCATAAACTGGAAATTGCTCTGCTTCTTTGTAACAAAAAATGAAAATGATGTAATATCAGAACTAGCATTATTTAATATAACAATCATGCAAAAGTAAATTACAACAGCGTTTGGTCCTAGAAACCTTGAGGAACAGTATAAAAGATAATTTACATATACACTTTTAAAGGTTCGCTAGCAGAACCAGCCTATTTACTTGTAATTTTGTTTCACTCTCTCTCTCTGACACTTAAACTCTTGGCTTCATTTGGACTTCATTTAATACAGGTCTGCACATGTCTGTACCTGAAGCTGTTCCTGTAGTACCAATATATGCTGATCTTCCTTCGCCTGCTTGCTTAACATATCTGGAGGCTGAAGACCAACAGGCGTGTCTTTGGAGATCTCAGGATTCAGCCACTCCTATCACAAACAAATAACCAACAGATGATATACTTACAAAAATATACATTTTAGGTCTGTAAAATCATACAAAAAAGAAGAGCAAATGAACTGACCTGATTTGTTGGGTCCTTCAGCTCTCTAACATCCATGTCTGCTTCTGAGAGGAAAACGCAGGAGATCAAGCAAATCAAGAAAAATAACACGACAACAATCACAATCACATATCAATCATTAAAAAGCAACATTGGCCGATGTGATGAAGATGAGGAAGCTAACATGGAGCCATAACACTCAGTAATTAGGGACTGAGAGATCACGCAGAAAGCATGCGGTTCCAGCAGTGACTTCAATATAACATGCAATGTTCAGAATTAAATCTGATTCATTTTCTAAACGTATGCATTATTCATGTCACTGTCATGTCGCCATATCTGATATTCAGAGTGGTTAAACCTCCATGTGACATCACAGGAAATTAAACATGCTGCACAAACCATTTTAAGGAGTTATTGTGCATCATGAGGCTTAGTTGAAAACATAATTTAGCCAGTGCCCTGAAAACTGCAACTCTCACCCAGAAATGAAAATTCTGTCATCATTTACTCACCCTTAAGTTGTTCCATTCCTGTATGACTTACTTTCTTCTGTTGAACACAAAATAAGGTATTTTGATAAATGTTAGTAACCAAAAAGTTTCTGGGCCCCATTGACTTCAATAGTGTTTTTTTTTTCCTCCATACTACGAAAGTCAATGGGGAGCAACAACTGTTTGGTTTCTAACATTCATGGTGGTGGCTGAGGAGATACCCCCAGACAACGTGAAGCGCTTTGAGTGCCTAGAAAAGCGCTATATAAATGTAATGAATTATTATTATTCATCAAAATATATTTTAAACTCTTCCTACCATCATCTGGGTCCATGAGCATACCTGTGGAACAATACACCTCAGTCTCAGACACAGGAACATATTCAAATTCACTCTGTGATATGGGCCACTCCATAGGTACTTTTGGTCACATGCCCCATTTTATGACACAGCATATTCAATACCAGTTTGTCAAGGAGTCATAGAAAAGTTGATTATATCCATCCTCATAAATGTGTGGTAATCTCCATCACACATGTCTGAGTATGTAGTTTATGAAGACGTCTCTAGTGACTGACAACCTAATAACGATGGCCTAAGAGCATTGTCTTGATCCCATTTATGAAATCAAACTGAAAAAATGGGATTCAAATTTAAACATGGAAAGTTTTAGAATTTTGAAAAAAAAAAAATCACTCAAACCATTATGTTATAAATGTAATGAATTATTATTATTCATCAAAATATATTTTAAATGTTCAACAGAAGAAAGAAACTCATACAGGTTTGGAACAACTTGATGACAGCATTTTCATTTTTAGCTGAAATATCCCTTTAATTACAGAAAAAAAATACAAAAATAATTAGTATTTAATAAGCATTATTTAAATTATAATAAATAATAAGCTTAAAATAAACTTTTAAAAAATTTAATTAGCCATATCAAAAATTGTGTTTGTTTTTTTTCTTGAACAACCAGCCTAGACACTGAATGCCATGGGCATTTTAATACATTTTATGAATATGTATTTTTCCAGATTTGCCAAGCTCTAAAATATTTTATCAGGGATACATTTTGAGTAAACA